CTATAGGTGTTCTCTCGCCCACCCGATATCGATCTTCTTTTTACGCGTATATATACGGTTGTGCACACATAGATGTATAAATTGAAGCCCCGACGAGATGAGCCAGAGTAGCGTGAATGGCCGTGGTCTTTCGTTCCCTTCGCGCCGAGAAAAAGTAAGTCTTAATAAACTCGGGACGAGATAAATTGGTACATTAGCATCTCGGTTGTGATTCATGGTGACGTTCTCTAGGTGGCAGAGAAGGAAGGGTGGATAGGATGGCGCGGGGACGACTGTGAAATATTGCCATTAGCATCGGTTTCATATTAGAACAAATAGGCCCGTGTTTTAAAGTCCAAAAGGCGCGACACGTCTCGGCGCTCATAATGGGACGTTCACTCTTAATACACCCCACAATAAAATCTTCTGAACTTTGTCCCCATTCGCGATGGAATCATATAACCGTTAATAAAATGTATTCGCGTTGTGAACGCCATGTAATATTTACTTATTAATTAATATGCCTATTTTAGAAAAATTTCTAAATTTTAAACAATTATAAATGTAGATATAAAATATCAATTTTACTTAAAAAATTATAAAATGCAATTGGTTGTTTCTATCTCAAAATATTGACATAAATAATTTATATATCAAAATCAAACCGAAAGTATGCAAAGTACTAGCTATGTTAAAGACAAAAATTCAAAAAATCTATTTTTTAATAATAAAATTGAATTAACTTTGATCATTGAATATAAATTCTAAGATTTTCCGGTGCTTTGCGATAAATAAAGATAGAAATCTTAAAAAGTTAATCAGACCTTGTTATCCACGCGTTACAATCGAAATCTGAATCGTTATAATAAGCGCCCGGATACATAATTGCAAGTGCGTGTTTCATGGAATGGAAGTAAATCATCCCCCGTCGCCGGTGGAGCCTGGTCACAGGCTGATGCGAAACAAAGACCGCGACGGGGGGGCGAGCGCAACCCCCGCTCGTTCACGGTCGCCGTAATTCACAGTTTGGTGGCGCGTTTATTAACGGCGGCGCGCGTCACTCCGGGCTACGCCTTTTTAATGATTTATCGTGCACGCGCCGAGACATACGTATCCCTTTTGCGGGCCAAAGTTCGACGTCTTTCTCGGGGCCCTGCGGCACCCTTTCCTTCACCTTCCGCCAGCTGCCGATCGTGAGAGGTGCAGATGGAGGCGCAGATGTTGCGTTTCAACCCTGTCACCGTTCTTAACTGCATAGTTCCTCTTTTCGTCGTCGAGAGATGAGACTGTCTTTCTGCGGACCGCTCCGCCTTTTCGCATTAGACGAATGATGAAATTGGATATCTGGAGTTTATTTTTCTAATTCGAATGGGGCATAAAAACTAACTGTACTAGCTGTAATATTCAAGGCATGAAAAAAATATCGCGGAACAGCAAGCAAGACTGGATAAATGGCGAGCGATTAATAATAATCATACGATCGTGCTTGGATGATCGACGGTTACATAAGAAATCTGGGATTGAGTAATCGACGATTAATCAACGGAGACGGAAGTGCTGTTTTCTTTTTTCTTCTAGCACAATTTTATCGCGACACGCAATACTAATCGCTCCTGTCAACGCGCTTAGCGAATGATCGCAGTTCTCGGCGAGGCTGGAATAGGCTTCGCGTGGATACGTCGGATCGGAGTAATAAAGGATACTACTTATTATCGATAGACCGTAATCGATGGCTTTATGACTCCGGGTTCCGCCGCGATACATACCCGCGGCACGCTAAAAAGACGCTCGGTAAACTGAATGCTGGACAGACGATGAGGCGCGGTGAAAAACGTTTAATTGGACTGGATTGTGGACGACCGGGGTGGTGAGCGTAGATGACCGGTTCGCGCAGGCACGTAAAGTATTGAAGGCGAACTTCGGAAAACTCTGCCTCTCGCCGAGGCTAAATTGCTCCCCCGGTATATTACCAGGAAGGGCGTACGGAATTTAGAGTACGCGTATCCTCTTATCGCCGAGGTTACGCCGCGGCGGAAAGAAGGTCCGATATATACTCGACATCGGGGGCTCTTTAATCGCGTAACTGTACCCATGCCCGTTTCTAACCCTTCATTAGACGGCGCGCATCTACTTCTCGTGATTTTTGCAAAGCGCCCGAGCCGCCCGTTCTCTCATACCGACGCGGACATCGTACATAAAACGCGGCTTTAGTTAATCCGCGTGTAATGGTCTCACAAGGTTACTCCTCGATCGTTTCCGATGCTAATGGCGCGTGCGCTTTATCGCAACTTGAGGCACGATAATTCTTCATAATATAGGAAATTCAGGGAAGAAAATTTATATTTTATGACCGTGAAAATGTATGCAGTATCGGGCATTAATAGACGAGCTTAATCAAATTTGGTGAACTTTGTGACAAGAGAATTAACGTATAAAACGATTTTTTTATGTCAGATAGTATTTTTATCTTATTTGATATTAAAAAGTTTAGAGAGTTGAAAATACATTTTATAAGAGTAAATAAAAAAATAAAGAGATTTAAGTAATCAAACTCTTTTGAAAAGTCCTTTTTTTTACTTTTCTTCGTAAGTGTGATTTCATATTTTTCAACCGCGCTATAAACTTTGTAATTCCGGACGCGATTCACACACGCGATATATAGACAGCCTAAGATGCTATCTTGTTAAACTCCAGGGATTTTCGGGCAAGGACGAAAGGATCATTAACGTCGGACTGGATTCATCGCTCATACGCGAGTTCCCGATGAAAACTGCATGGAGAGGCGCGCGCGCGGGCTCAGCTTTCAAAAAGACAGACACGTCCCGCCGATATAAATAAAGTATCGAAGGGATGGACACACTTCGACTCGTCCGACACAACGATGAGCCAAATGAAAAATGCCGAGACGGCCGATCAATGTAAATATATTCATGACGTGGGGTGGCCGAAGCGGCCACAGGGATGCCGGAATATATACGCGTGTATGGCGGGGTTTTATAGGATGGGGTTCGCCGAGGACTCGATGGCACTTGGACGGCACATAATTCACTCTTTGGCAGCTCATTACAATTTAAAAAGGCCTTTGTCAGTGCACTACTCGTGATTTCGCTCACGGCGTGCGGCCCTTGCCACACCTCCGGTGGCAACTAACAATGCTCTATCTAGTGTTTGACACATGTTAAGTACCTAACTACTAAACAGAATAATTTTACTGAAATACGTAAGTGGATTCGTGCAATATAATACTCGCATCAGATTAAACAGAGTTAACAGTGTGGAATATTTAAGTTAAGTCAAATTAAAGCAGCGTTAAACACCTCAATTAAGACGTAAAGAATGTAAAATACTAGAGATAAGTGTATTTATAATTTCTGTACTCTAAAATTTGAAATAATTACTACTTGTCAAAGAAGATAACATCAAATTTGTGATTATATGTGTTTTAGAATTATTAAAAAATGTTTTAAAATTATTAAATTATTAAATAGTGTATCGATTTAGTGTATAATAGATTATTAGTCTAATCATTGATATTAACAATGATTCTTTTTTGTATTCTTTTTTCCGCGAAACCAGTTTGCAATAAAGAGCTATAACATTTCTAATATAAATCGTCTATACGATATCGAAAGGAAAATTGATTATCCGCGTCCTCAAAACTGATCTTTAGAGTGTGATCCTCTTCAAATCAATAATTTCAAATTGATATTTAAGAACACAAGCTGATATATATGTAAAGATACAAAATATAGATTTTGTATCAATCTAATATTTTTTAAATAATACAAAACATGAAAATTATTTAATAAATTTCTTTTCTATCAATTAAAAAATTCTTTTCACACAATATTTGTTAAAATACTCGATATATTCCAAAAATTTTCCAAAATATCTTAAAATATTACTTTTTTGATATATTCAAAATAAATGTAAATACAAATAAAAAAATTATTTTTCCTCGATATTCTCATCTCCGACAACACGCAGAAATTACACAGTTTTTAATGATCGTTCGATACTAATTACGGTTACGTATTCGACTCGCTGTAAAAATTTGCGAAACTTCGTTACTCCATAATCGGCGAGCAGTCAATAAGTGCGTCCGGGTGCTCGAATATATCGCTGATTATGCACCTCGCTCGCGTCTTACGCCTTAACACGTTACGTTAATCACTCTAATCCGCCATCGACGAGCGCTCGCGTGTCTAGCAATCCGCGAAAATAATTACCGCCTTTGCCGCTCACGTCGTGCGCCTTTTTGCGCAACGAAATGCGCGCAGAAAGTTGCGACACCTTTTGTATCCGACGTAATGCAGAGAGATCTATGGGTAAAACAAAAAAAGGAGAGGAAACAAAAAAGAGAGAGAGAAAATGCAACTGCGTTCCCACGGGACTAGGCGGAAGGAAGCCCGAAATTGATATGTATTCCATGCCGCGCCGCGTCCAATCTATCGCGGGTCAAGCAGGCGGAATTTTAAGCGCGACTTGACGTATGCGCGTATACGAAGCGCGTACATACACGCGTGTTCGCCACCGGGCGTCGAGATAACCCCGACGATGAAACTGTGCGAAAGTGAGGCCGATCGCCGCACATTCGGAAACTTACGAGGGAGCATAAAGTATTTCGGTTTCTTATATCGTTAGATACGCGTATTGGATACGTGTGTGCACGCGAGCACGCCTTTCTACAAAGGGATTGTGCGCGGCTACGATGCCCAACGAGGGAAGGGCGGTGGTCATCGTCGGAAAATTGAATTTCGTCCCTGAGGGCCCGTCGGATGAAGTATGCTGACAGTTGGAAAATTTGCGTTTAACCGCGCGCGCGCACGCGACACCAAATACGCCGGAATATCCCCGGGAAAATCTTCCCGCGATCGTTTTTTCGTTTCCTCTCTTCTTTTTTTTCTCCCCCAGAAACACGGCGAGTGATAACGTGCGAATTTCAATGTTGCGAAGCGCATGATGATTATTTCGAGTATATATCTTAGGAATAAGAGCATGCATTGCATTTATGGACTTACCGTGAGGCACCCATCCGTGATGGCAGTTCTCGCAGTAGCGCAAGTGACGTTTGCCCGGTGTGAAGGATTCGCAGCAGCAGCTGTTCACTGTGCATCGGATGGACTGCAAGCAAAGAGAAAATGCGGTTGAGAAATTAATAAGATTATTGCATTACAAGTTTGAGTTACAAGTTAAAACATTTTTTTTAAATTAAAATATTATGTAACGTTTATATATAAATTGAATTATTTCTTTCTTGTTGAGAGATTTTTGGCTACTTCTAACATTTCATGTATCTCAAGCAGTTTTGCACGGATTAACGGATGATTGCCACGGGCTAACGGAAAATAGACGGGCAAGGGGTCTCGGTATTTTGAGTGACCGTTTGGCGTAACGCCACCCCAGAGAAAGCTCGTAAGAGAGACAGCCTCGTCGGATTTTAAGGAACCGTGAATATTTTCCACCCTTCGGCACAAAATTAACCCCCTGGGAGCCCCGCCATCCAATACCGCTCCCGGGGCGAAAGGAGCCGACCTCACGTATCGGTATTACTTTATATACAGGCGCACAGCAGAAAACTTTATTCTCCACGCTGCTGCTGCAAGTTACCTGCAGGTAGTACATACCTACGTCGAGATATCGACGTATCCCGTCGCCCCCGTATCGAGAGAAGGCGGCATCCCGCCTCTTGTGTCTATTATAGATCTGAAAGTTCGCCCGCGAGCAACACGAATTTGCACTAGGAAACTTCGGCCCGCAATTATCGGGCTAATGCGCTTGGGGGACGATCCGAGATTTTATTATGTAACATTATTCCTCGCTCTCTCTTTCTCTCTCTCTCTCTCTCTTATCGGTCTTAGATTATGATACCGCGAAATAATTTCATCTACTTTTCCAATACTATATCGACGATTAATTTAATTTCGTACAGTTTTTAAGAGAACTTTTTTATCATTATTTAAAAGTATGATGTAAAGATCAATATTTTCTCTTTGAATTTCTGTTTTCTTCCTGAGAATCCTTGCTGTAGAAAATTAATATTCTAATTTAAGTGTTTTTAATACAAATAGTATACACGCATACTTTTCTAACCTTATCCTCGGTTACATTTGTTGCGTACCTTTCATATCGGCTGTAACGAAAACGCAATTTGCCGGGGCCGGAAGACGCAACCCCCGGCGACGTCCGCGCGGGTAATAATTTGGAATCAGGGGCAGTTCTGGCTGCCTCCATCCTCCCTCGTAAAACGGCAGCGCGTTTATAAAGAGGCGAAAAAAAGGGCCGCGAGAAAATGCGCGGGGGTAAAAAAGTTGTTTCGCGGCGGTGTAGAAGCAGACGCTACGCTGTGTCGTCATAACACCGTTACGACGTTACACAGCGGCGTTAATATAAAGACAAATGAAGCGACGACGGTGCACACGCTGTGCTGCTTCTGCCTTACTCGGCCATGTGTCTTTATATAGACAGTATCCCGTGCCACCGTGAAAAACACATCCGCCGGGAATCTTCTGTCGCGACAAGGAGAGATGAAGGCGGCGATGCGACCGACAAAATTTCGCAAGCGGTAAATTTTATTAGCCGCACCGCGGGTTATTTCTTTGGAACGGCGACAGATTATATGGTGATATTAGCGTGCCGCCGCTGTAAGAGGGAGCATTCTATTTATTGGAATAAAAGCATGCGCGATATCGTGCGAACAATTTTTCTATTGTTTCGAAACATCTAAAACACTTTTTATTAACACTTCAATTTTTCTTTTCTAATTTGTTAATATTCCTAATGTTTGTTAACTTTGTAATTTTTTTATTTCATGAAAAGCAACGAGATTTATAAATTTATAGAATTGTAAGAATTATTGAACACTGACACATGACAATTATTTACACCGACGTATTTAGAAATTTAGAATTTAACTCTAGACAAATATGGCAATCTATACAACGCTCGTTACAATGTTACATTATCGATATCGCACGTAACACTTCCCGGTTCTTTCACTTCCGTCTAGCACTGTCATTCTATTTGTCTTGCGAGCGTGATAATAGACCAGCCTCGCGATGACGAATGCTATTTCTCGAGTTACATACAAGGAAAGTGTGTCATTCGTTGCAACTTTTTTTTCTCGATATTCTAAGTCGACTTGTTTTACACATGTCAAGTCAAAGTCTTGTAGTTTACGTACCACAAAGTCTGATCAACGCATTGCATTGTACGCATCAGGATTCGGATTGACAAGATCGAACACTGCCAGAAAATGAGTGATTTCTAGTCACAGAATAGATTGATTTCTATACAAGTTCTATTTTTAAATTATTCACCGTTCAATTTTATATCATACGCTGTTATAGTGTCAGATACAGTTTTGTTTTCATCTGATATCTCAATCGATATACTACTAAGGTTGAATAAAAGATACGCAAAGACACGTAAGACATTTCACATGTTCCACAAGCAGCTCTGACATTTTACAAACCCATTAAACTTCCACCGTGAATAATTTGAAAATGAAGCCAATTGAGAGAAAGTTATTTAATGTTAATAAGCAAAACCTAAGATTTCACGCCAACATAATTATACACATAAATTCTGTATTTCTGTAGCAGGTGTAAAATGATTATTTTTATTCATTCTTGCTCGTGACTTATTACAATACTATTCCACGGCTCGTATACGCGCGTTTGCCCGACTTTACACAACGGATTGGCCCGAGTGTCTCTATCACCTCGGCGTTCCCCTTTGCTTTCGCGCACTGTCTTCTGGTATCGCGCCGCACAGAAGGCAATAACATTTTTACGAGCCACGAAACATTTATTGCCGGCTGTAGGCTGCCACAGAGTTTTATCATCTCGCTCCTTCCTTAATACTCGCTGCTTAAGGATGCACGAGTGTCCCGCGCGTGTACGTGTATATATATTTCTTTGCGGTTGTATGTCTCTCGATTAGGGAGATAACGGCTCTGGCAACGTCTCCTTAAAGGCGCCTTCCATTTTCCGACGTGATTAATACCTCGGAAGCGACTCTCACCAATGACGACTTTGTTTCGTCGTTAGTGTTTGTTGTTACAATTTTTATCGGCGTGCTCTGAAGCTACAAGCGAATATAGGGCTTCGTTGAAACGTTTAATGTTTTAATGCTTACTTAGAGAAGAAGATTGAAAATACATACAAGAAATTGCGGACATATTTAGGACTAAATTTAGGATTAATTGCAGAAAATACAGAGACAAATTAAAACACAAATATAATTATATTTAAAAAGAGAATAAAGAAAATATCACATGTGTATTACTATGTCAATCTAGCAATTTTATGTATAATGCAAATAAAAAAAATTATTAAAGATTACTCTATTATTATTGTATTGTCTTTTATAAGATTGTCTATACAAAATTTTTTTAAATACTGAATATTGATATTTAATGAATACCTAAAAATTTATCACACATTAGTGCAGTATGGGATTTGTATATATGTTCTCCAGATCCGTATATTCTCGCACGTCGAAAGTTGCATTACACGCACAAAAAGTGATTACAAGAACGCGCGCGCACGCTGCCAGTACGTAATTAACGGGGCGCAAGGTGCGCGGTATTCAGAACGCGCTCCAGCTTTTGGATGTACGTGTGGCGTTGCGTTACGCCGCGTTGCACGTTGCGCTTCCCGTTGTTGTATCACGGCGCCTAAAAAGCCTCGCGGCGCGCGTGCCGAAATTAGCGTTCGCAGCAGCTGGCTTTTTTGCCCGAGCAAGAGAGTGAGCGAGAGTACCCGCAGCCGCTGCACCACGCGCTCCTGAAAGGCGTTCACCGAACGATCGATCGATCTCCGACCTGTCGTATAGATCGTGATCGATCGCATCCCCCGCGGCCAAATTTCCAATCGGTCAAGGTTTCCGGAATGCCGGTATTTCGCGAAAGAACGCGGTAGACCCATGGCGCGTGAGCGTGAATGTTTTAAATGTTGATTTACCGGTCGGTTATTTAGAAATAGGTAGATGATGATATACCGGACGCGTCTGATGGACTATAATAAATGGATCGGTGATAGAGTTTTTTATTATTATAACTTTTTCTTATCTCATTGTCGTTAGATACATGTAAATATATTTATATTTTGCTACGTCTATGATTTTTTTGTGGATTATAATAGATTCCTTTAAAAACATTAAAATAATAAAAAATATTATTTTAAATAAATCATTTTAGAGAAATTATACTTCAAATTGATGTGTGCTGTCAGCTTACTCAGTTTTTTTTCTCGTAATTGTACTGTATTTATTTACGGCAATTTAATACTTCCCGATAAATGTTTTAATTATAAAAAAATTCATAAATCTGTATTACATTATTTTTAAACGCTTTTGCGTGTCTATAATTTTGGAAAGTGATAAAGACAGATTGATGTCATTACGTTGTCATTGAGTTATCATTATGACCATATAATCACGCAGGATGTGCATTAAGTGATTGAGGAAATACGTCGAAATCAGCTGGAAAGTGTGTGTGTACGCAACTCGATGATGTGTGTATAATATATGACACGATGCTAGACACGCAATATCAGCCCAACCGCGCGTATATACTCAAGGGACGGGCGGAATAACATTACGACTTATCGCAGTACAATAATTAATTGCGCGGATACGAATTACACAAGTTACGCAAAATTTCCATTCAATAACGTCCGCTATCGTGGTAATAATTATTATCAAAGTCGAGCCAACGACACAGTTTCACAGTACGCCATTGTGTTCACGCACGTCTCCTCCGAGAAACTAGTATCATCTAACAACAAATCAGATCTCTTGACATTCCACTAATTATCATTACTTGGAAACAGTGTGCAGACGCTCGTTTTGCGTCATTGTAGGCGATAATGGTTATTATTCGGAATACTTTTCCTTAAATGAGCGAGGGAGACGATGATGAATGAGAGTAAAGAGGATGCTGAATACCAACATCGACAAGCATCCTCTTACTTAATTGATTGGCAGATTTACTTAATTGTCTCCGTCAATTTTTTATTTTTTCACTATCAAGATTTTTTAACATAAATAATAAAGTAAGAAAAATTTATTATTCAAAGTTTATGTTAACCAAATACAAAAGATATTAAAAAATACTAAAA